GCATAAGAAAACCCATCGATAATAATGCAATAATAGGGGACTTTAACACCCCACTTACAGCAATGGGTAGATCATCTAAGCAGAAAATCAACAAGGAAACAATGGCTTTGAATGACACACTGGACCAGTTGGACCTTCCAGAGATATATTCAGAACATTTCATCCTGAAACAGCAGAATACACATTCTTTTTGCATGCACATGGAATGGTCTCTAGAATAGATCACATACTGGGTCACAAATCAGGCCTCAACAAGTTCAAAAAGAGTGAGATCATATCATGCATACTTTCCAGTCACAACGCTATGAAACTTGAAGACAACCACAAGAAAAAATTTGGAAGGACCACAAGTACATGAAAGTTAAAGAACATCCTACTAAATAATGAATGGGTTAACCAGAAAATTAAAGAAGAAATAAAAAAAATATATGGAAACAAATGAAAATGAAAACATGATGGTCCAAAATCTTTGGGATGCAGCAAAAGTGGTCATAAGAGAGAAGTATATAGCAATACAGGCCCACCTCAAGAAGCAAGAAAAGTCTCAGAGGGGAGCAGATTATACCACCCTTAAAATCTGTCACTTTGGCATGTGAATTATTTTGAGTTGAAGGCAATCAAGATCCAGCAGACTCTGGAAAGACTTTTTCCCTCCCTCTCAACTGCCTGAAGGAAATTAGAAAGGAGGATTGTACCAGGAAGATAGTAGGGATACACATAGTGTAACTTTTTTATATTTAAGACTTATCTGCGTGGCAGAACAAATATTAAATATTAAACTAAACATTTGCTCTTTTTACTTCCTGGTGAATTGCTTTCCTACCTCTTTGAAGCCCCAGACCCTGTTTCTTTCCTTAGCTCAGGATGGTTTATGAGCCTGTTGCTTGGCTGCCTTTGGGTCTCACATCTTTGTGGGGCCCCCTTAAGAAATGAAAATTTTCTACTGTTAATCTGTCTTTATTACAGGGGAGCTCTTAGCTAAGAACCTGGAAGGGTAGAGAGAAAATTATTTTTTCTCCCCTACAGTTTCATGGAATAAAAGATAATGGGAATAAGATCTTCCACAATACTGACAGAAGCTATGAAAGGGTCTTGAGGAGGAGTTGGAGGGTCAGACCACAAGTGGGTCAGTAGGAACTTGGAAGAAAATCTGAGAAGCCAGGCACTTCCAGCTGGTAGAGTCGGACTGTGAAAGAGAAGGTGAGAATGAAGTCTGGGGAAGGCTTTGTCTGCTTGTGGACTTGGTATCCCTTTTGGTCTGGTTTCTTTTGTGATTTTTGTGTATAGTTTTACCACTTTTTTTTTTTTTGGGTACCAATAAGGTAAGAAAAGTAGTCATATAGCTTAGTACTTTTTTTTTAACAGATTAGAAAATAGACTTATTGTTATTTCTAAAAGTCAGAACTTGGAGGATGAATAAACACAACAACAGATGTATAAGAACATAAGTAGAAACACTGTTTTACAACAGTGTGTACTGAAACAAATTTATGTATTGGAAACTATGAAAAATAGCTCTCTTTAAATGATTTAACATTTGCTCTTCCTTATATACAGTTGAATTTCCAGTGGGAGAACAAAGATGCTCATGGCTCTCTGGGCCTGCCTTCAGGAAAACCGTTCCTTAAAACCTTCTGGAGTGTTCCATGAAGCCAGTGTATGGTTTAGCAGGAAATAGGGGCTGCTGTCGGTGCACATGTATATGCATGTTGTCCTGTCCTGTCTTCCCAACTCCCCCACGCATGTGGGATCATTACAGGGGTTCAGGGGACCCTGTAGTCAAATAAGGAAGTCCCCTGGAATGAAGCCTATTAATGAAATTCCCTTCTGGAAATGGCTTGGTACCTTTTAAATCTAATTTATTACTCTTATTTTTTTTTAAATATTTAAAATATTGGTTTGAATAAGTAGTAAATATATATGGTACAAAATTCAAAAAGTTCAATGGGGCCATACAGCAAAAATTCTTCCCACCCCTCTCTCATATGTCTGATTTTCATTCCTGGAGGCAACCATTTTAGCAGTGTCTTGTGTATCTATCTAAAGATACATTCTATATGTAAATATGTATGTGTCCACGAACAGAGTGAGTGGGTAGCATTGTAAACATACTGTCTTGATTATTCATAGTTCAGGTAATTCTAGGACTAGGTTCTATTATAAATCAGTTGACTCCATTCGTTCAAAAATTAAAAGATTTAATTACTATGTGTATACTTTGTATATACTGTGTATATATCTTTGGTATGTATATTTTGCTTATCTACAGAATTAAATAATTTTAGAAATCTTTGTCGGAAGTACCTAGGAATCCATTTGATGAGTTACCATTGTGTGAAAGATTTGCATCGATATACAGGCATATATCATATTATTGTGTTTTGCAGATACTGTGTTTTTTACAAATTGAAGGTTTGTGGCAACCCTGCATCAGTAGAGCAAATCTATTGATGCTGTTTTTCCAACAGCATTTGCTCACTCTGTGTCTCTGTGTCACATTTTGGTAGTTCTCACAGTATTTCACATTTTTTCACTATTGTTTTGGTGAACAACGATCAGTGATCTTTGATGTTAATGTAATTGTTTTGGAGGCACCATGAACCGTGCCCATATAAGTTAGTGAACTTAATCAATAAATGTGTCTGTTCTGACTGCTCCATCGATCTCCTGTTCTTTTATCTCCCTCTCTGAGGGCCTCCCTATTCCCTGAGATACAACAGCATTGAAATTAGGTCAATTAATAATCCCACTGTGGCCTCCAAGTGAAAGGAAGAGTCACACGCCTCACACTTTAAATCAAAAGCTAGACATGATTAAGCTTAGTGAGGAAGGCATGGCAAAAGCCAACATAGGTCAAAAGCTAGGCCTCTTGCACCAGTTAGTCAAGTTGTGAATGCAAAGGAAAAGTTCTTGGAGGAAATTAAAAGTGCTACTCCAGTGAACACATGAGTAAGAAAGTGAAATAGTCTTTCGCTGATACGGAGAAAGTTTTAGTTGGGATAGATCAAACCAGCTACAATATTTTTTTAATCCAAGCCTAATCCAGAATAAGGCCCTAACTCTCTTCAATTCTGTGAAGGCTGAGAGAAGTGAGGAACCTGCAGAAGAAAAGTTTGAAGCTAGCAGAGGTTAGTAACATGAGGTTTAAAGAAAGGAGCCATCTCTATAATGTAAAAATGCAAGGTGAAGCAGCAAATGCTGCTGTCTAAGATGCAGCTAGTTATCCAAAAGGTCTAGCTAAGATAATGAAGGTGACTACACTAAACAAGATCTTTAGTATAGTTGAAACAGGCTTCTATTGGAAGAAGATGCATCTAGGCTTGCATAGCTAGAGAGGAGAAGTCAGTGGCTGGCTTTAGAGCTTCAAAGGACAGGCTGACTTTCTTGATAGGGGTTAATGCAGCTATTGACTTTAAGTTAAAGCCAATGCTCATTGACCATCCTGAAAATCCTAGGGCCCTTAAGAATTATGCTAGATCTGCTATGCTTTATAAATGGAACAACAAAGCCTGGATGACAGCATATCTGTTTTCAATATGATTTACTGAAAATTTTAAGCCTATTGTTGAAGCTTACTGCTCAGAAAATAAGATGCCTTTCAAAATATTGCTAGTTGACAGTGACCTGGTCAGCCAAGAGCTCTCATGGAGCTTGCTCACACAGCATCTCTTCTGCAGCCCTGGGTGAAGGAGCAGTTTTGATTTTCAGTCTTATTATTTAAGAAATATATTTCATAAGGCTATAGCTGCTATAGAGAGTGATTTTTTTGATGGATCTAGGCAAAGTAAATTGAAAACCTTCTGGAAAGGATTCATCATTCTAGATGCCATTAAGAACATTCATGATTCATGGGAAGAGGTCAAAATATCAGCATTCACAGGAGTTTGGAAGAAGTTGATTCCAACCCTCATGGATGACTGAGGGGTTCAAGACTTTAGTGGAGGAAATAACTGCAGAAATGGTGGAAATAGCAAAAGAACTAGAAGTAGACCTGAAGATGTGACTGAATTTCTGGCAATTTCGTGATAAAACTTTAATGAATGAAAAGTTGCTTCTTAGGGATGAACAAGGAAAGGGGTTTCTTGAGATGGAATCTACTTGTGAAGATGCTGTGAAGATTGTTGGAATGACAACAAAAGATCTAGACTGTTACATAAACCTAGTAGATAAAGCAGCAACAGAGTTTGAGAGGATTTTGGACGTTCTACTGTGGGTATAATGCTATCAGACAGCATTGCATGCTACAGAGAAATTGTGAAAGGAAGAGTCAGTCAATACAGCAAACTTGACTGTTGTCTTATTTTAAGAATTTACCACAGCCACCCCAACCTTCAGTACCGTCCACCCTGATCAGTCAGCAGCCACCAACATTGAGGCAAGACTCTCCACCAGCGAAAAGAATCTGACTCACTGAAAGTGCAGATGATGGTTAGCATTTATTAGCAATAAATTACTTTTTTTCTTTTTGGAATGTCAGCTTTATTCAGTCATAAAGCAAGGTTAACATAATTATCAAGCAGGTTCAGACTTCCAAAATTAATGATATTTTACTGCATATTTAACTTGGCTGCTTCTTCAGTGTGGCCTCTTCTCTTCCTTTAGTTGTGGAGTTTGTTCTGTCAGTCTTCAGGTTGATTTCTAGGATATTTAGAATGATTTGATTATTATCTAGTTGTGTTTGTAGGACAAGATGAGCCTAGGGATCCTCCTGCTCCATCATCTTCCTCTCAATAAGTTACTTTTTAATTAATATATGTACATTGTTTTTTCAGACATAATGCTCTTCCATACTTAATTGACTACAGTATTGCATAAAAGTAACTGCTATATGCATTGGGAAAACCAAAAATCATTTGACTTTATTGCAATATTTCCTTTACTGTGGTTGTCTGGAGCTGAACACGCAGTATCTCTGAGGTATACCTGTATGTGGTTTGATGTTGGCTTGTGACAAAACCTTAATGCATTTTATCCTAAAGTTACTCTTTTTTTTTACACAGAGAATGTCTAAGCACACGGATGCAGCAGAAGTACTATTGGAAAGAAAAGGTTGTGCAGGAGTGATAACACTAAATAGACCAAAGTTCCTAAATGCACTGAATGTTAGTATGATTCGGCACATTTATCCACAGCTGAAGGTTTGTGATTTCCCTAAAGAAATTATATGGATCCTTTTAAAAGTGTATCTCAATAGAACATTTCTGGTATTCCCTTCCATAGAATATCTGGGATCAGCACCCAAGCCCTGTTGCTTTCTTGTCTTCCGTGCTTTCCTTGTGTGATTATCCTGGAGCATCCCTAGTGACGGAGTTCATGGCTTCCTGAGATAGCCCCTTCCACTTTTACATAGCTCCACGTTTCCTTTCTGTGTTTTGCCACTGTACTTCTCTGACCTTTTAACCAGTGGTACTAATTCTGCCTCTTGGGATATGAGTATATAAATCCAATCTCCTTACATGTGACGGCTTTTTTTTTTTTTTTTTTTTAAGATTTTGAGACAGAGAGAGAGCTCACAAGCAGTGGGGAGAGGGAGAGGGAGAAGCAGACTCCCCGCTGAGCAAGGAGTCCGTTGTGGGATTCATTCCCAGGACCCTGAAATCATGACTTGGGCCAAAGGCAGATGCTTAACTGACTGAGCCACCCAGGCGTCCCCATCGTCCCCATGTGACAGCTTTTTTGTCAGCTGTTTTTGAACTGCTTGGCCAGCCTATCTTAGAGAAGGCCATAAGCTTTTCTAGTCTAAGTGAACTACATGGTGCAGTGGAAAAGCATGACTTACAGTCCGACTACTTTATTTAAAACTTGGATTTCTTTTTATTAACTGTGTAGCTTGGCAGTGTTAATCTCTCTGTTCTTCATTTTCCTCAGCTGTGAAATGGGGATGATTATATCTCACAGGACTGTTGTGGAGAGGAAGTGAAATAGTGTACCTCACATGGTCAGCCACGAAGACTACCTCTCCCCTGGTTACCAGTTCCTTAATTTTCATTTGATGAGTCTCTCTTCCATACTGTTGTGTCTGTTTGGGACACCGTATAGTATGTCTTTAAATGTAATAAAGAGAAATAAGCCAAGTGTTTCGGATTGGAATTAGACCATAGTGGAGGAAAGTAGAAACTTCCATGTTAGAATGCTGTATTTCTGTTAATGTAGTCCAATATTGCATTAGCCTTTTGGACAGCCATATCTGTCCAGCTACATCTCTTCCAAGTAGGTTTATATTTCTATTCACAAGTGTAGAATTTATAGAGCTCCTGTTGATTTTTTAGTCTATTGTTGTTGAATTTGTTGTTTGAATTTCCACTGGGTCTCTTGACTCTTGACTCTTTCATCCTGCTTATTTATTAGCTGTCCTTACCAACCTCAAATCACTTCAAGATTTGATCAATATAAGTGGTTTCACTTGATTGCTTATAAATTTGTCAGTAGGACAGAGCCCTGTATCACCACAATAGAAAGGTTCTTGCTCTGTTTTTTTCACCAGATATATAAGCTTCTGTAACATATTTTTAAGCCCATATTTTTTTCATTTTGGTATCAAAGTTGTCATGGCAAAGATTTCAGATGCCATCATGCAATTTGGATCACAAAATGTATTCATCTAGCAACTTGTTGAGATAGTCTAATTTATGTCAGAAAAGAAAATGAGGTTGGGATCCATTCTTCTGGATGTACTTTATAAAGCTGGTACTTTATATGTATTGATACATATCTATCTATACAGATGTATATATGTACATATATATGCATATATATGCATATAGATTTTTTTGTAGTTTGTATTTATAATATGCTTTTACCATCTTTTTCTTTTGGATAGAATTGGGAACAAGATCCTGAAACTTTCCTGATCATTATAAAAGGAGCTGGTGGAAAGGCTTTCTGTGCTGGGGGTGATATCAGAGGTAAAAACTACCCCCCCAACCTAAATGTTTCCCTCCCTCCAATAGACTGATAAAACTAATAGGAAATTTTTGTAATACTTCGTAATTTGCTTTACATCTAAGAATTTTTTTTTGTTATAATGACTTAGCCATTGTAGTTAAATATTAGAAAAATGAGAATAGTATTTTTTTTTTAAACTATGTATGTGCCCTTCATATATCCTGTCTTTCTCCCTGAATCATCCTAAACAAAATGTCCTGTTATGCTATGTGAGTCCACTTTTTATTTTAGGTTAGCTGATGTTCAGCAGTTTAATTTGTCTTATAACCTGACAATCTGACTTGTCGTTCTCCAAATACGACATTCCTTCATGTGTTTCCTTGACTGTGCCCGTGCTTTCCTACAGTGCATGATCCCAAAGCAAGAATGGACTTAATTATAGAATTCATCCTGTTGTTAATACATTTTCACAGGTGTTTAAGTAAACATGCTGAGATGGGATAAAAAGATTTTCTTTTCTAGTTCTTTAGGTCAATCTGTATATATTTAACTATTAAAAGAGAGAAGAAATGTTTGGTCTCAGGATCAAAGTCATGTACCTCTCACCACTGGTTGTCATTATTTTGTATATACTGAAAACTGTTTTTGCATTTTGTATTTTGTTTGTTATGGAACTGATAGAGTCCAGGGAGGGATTTTTCTTTGTTTTTTTTTTTTTTGTGTGTGTGTGTATCTGTATGTGTGTATATATATGTGTGTATGTGTATATCTCTGTATCTCTATACACGTATATATAAATATATTTTTTTGTATTGTGTTAAAGGCAGTATGGTTTGGATTGATCTATTTTCCAAATTTACAAGTTTACATAAACCATTATATTTGGAATGGGAAGAAACAAGCTTGATTTAGGATATAATTTCAGATACCTATTAAATTTCAAGTAACTGAATTTTAATGTTTTTTTTGTGATTTTTAAAAATTTTTTATTGTTATGTTAATCACCATATATTACATCATTTGTTTTGGTGTAGTGTTCCATGATTCATTGTTTGTTCATAACACCCAGTGCTCCATGCAGAATGTGCCCTCTTTAATACCCATCACCAGGCTAACCCATCCCCCTACCCTCCTCCCCTCTAGAACCCTCAGTTTATTTTTCAGAGTCCATCATCTCTCCTGGTTCGTCTCCCCCTCTGACTTACTCCCCTTCATTCTTCCTCTCCTGCTATCTTCTTCTTTTTCTTTTTTCATAAAATATGTTGCGTTATTTGTTTCAGAAGTACAGATCTGTGATTCAACAGTCTTGCACAATTCACAGCGCTCACCGTAGCACGTACCCTCCCCAATGTTTTATTTCTATCAATTTTTATTCTATTTTTATTTTTATTTTTTGTTTGCTTTTTTTTTTTTTTTTTAAGATTCTACTTATTTACTTGACAGAGAGAGAGAGAGGGAGAAGCAGGCCTCCGGCTGAGCAGGGAGCCCAATGTGGGGGCTCGATCCCAGGAACCTGGGATCATGACCTGAACCGAAGGCAGACGCTTAATGACTGAGCCACCCAGGCGCCCCAATTTTTATTCTATTTTTAATTCTTAAATTTTTTAATTGCTTAGATTTGTTAACCGAATTGTGTTTGGATTTGTTTTGCCCACAACATGAATATTTTTTTTAAAGTATTGTTTTCCAGCATGAAGCTAACCTTTCTTTCTAACCTTTCTTCTGGAGTTGGGTCTGTGAACTTGTCAGTTTACAGATGGGCAGAGCCTTATGTATTGTTTATAGCTTCTAACTGTGAGCTATTTTTGCATATAGGTGTAACTTTATATTGATGTTTAGAAATACAGTTACAAATTACAGATTTATTTTAGTTAATGTGTATAAAGCAGTGGTCTTCAATTCCAGGAAATTTAGTTGTTTTAAAGATCATAGTCCAAGATGATAAATGGGCACTTAGAAAAAAATTTTTTAAATGCGATTATGAATGTAATTTATTTAACTTCTGTGGAATTAATTGATTAGAATAAAAGAGTAAATCAAAGATTTTTGAGGTAAAAGAGCTTCATTCCATAGGCAATATAATTTGCACTCTTGTCCTTTTAGAATTGCTAAGTAGTGGTAAGGACTGAATAAGAAACAATAGATGAGGGTTTGGGGGTGTACGTATATCAGTGAAATCCCCAGAAGGACAAAAATAGATACCAAATCTTTCTTTTAAAAACCAGGAAAAGAAGTGAACATTTGGAACATTTTGAAGGCTTCTAAAAGCAGTCTAAAAATCTGTAGTCAACAATTGTTATGTAACTCTTTCCCATAGAAGAAGAAATATGTTTATATTTTAATTTGTATTTTAACAGATAATTCTCCTAAGATTTAAAGACAGGAAGGCATATGAGCTTGCATTGTATGGAAGAGAATGGTTTGATAGTACTCATACTATTGACTGGAATAGGAATACAGTAGATGCTCAATAAATGTTTTATGGTGAAATGAATGTGGCAGAAATGCTTGACTAGATGGAATATACTGTAGAGCTGGGAGTGTATGTACACACATGCACACATGTACTTATATTTTTCTTTATGTATAATGTGCTTTGTGTTAAGCCATATTACCATTGAAATATATATCCAGCAAATATTTATTCAGGTGCTACAGAAAAGAGTCAAAATGAATTTTGTGACAATATATAAGTTCTAAATGAGGTATAACACTTTTTAAGAAGTCCTTAAGAATTTTTGCCTTTAAGTTTTGACACTGGACCATGGATCTAGGGCTAACTGTGTCTGTGGCATGGACACTTCAAAACTTTAACAAACCATTCTAGAGTTTCCCCAGGATTTAATATTATAATATCTTAAATTTATTCTCTTTGTATTAACTAGAAAGCACTTTTTTTTTTAAAGATTTTATTTTTAAGTAATCTGTATACCCGTCATGGAGCTTGAACTCACAGCTCTGAGATCAAGATTTGGCATGCTCTACCAACTGAGCCAGTTAGGCGCCCCACTAGAAAGCACTTTTTAAAAAATTTGTAATCTTTCCTTTTTCCCCTTCCTTCCTTCATTTTTTTTTTCTTGTAGCGATCTCCGAAGCTGGAAAGGCAAACCAGAAGATAGCTCAAGATTTCTTTAGAGAAGAATATATGCTGAACAATGCCATTGGTACGTGTGTTCCACTGAGAGCTTTGAAAATGGAATCAAGAAATGAGCTGCACAATATTGTTAAAAATGTTATCAGTAGACACTCTTATTTACTCTTTTATGTACTATGTCAGGCATAAGTAAAGCTGATTTTTCGGCTCATTCCAGGACAATTCACACTTTAATATTAGTAAGCTATACTTAATTACTATTTGTCCTGCAATCAATATGAAAACATGGATTCTGATCATATGACTGGCTTTCTTGGAAAACAAAAAACTTGGGCCTCAGTTTTCTATGTAGAATGAAATACCATTTCTTAATTCTTGAGGAACTCTGGGATGAAAGTGTCTTCATAGTTGATGTTCCAGATTTCACTGGAAGTGAAGCAGTACTTTTTTATCAAATGTGTTTCAAATGTTAAATTGCAGGGAATAATATAATAAATAGTTACATTCCCACCAGCCAGAATGAACAGACATTAATATTTTATTTTTGCTTGATGTTTTAAAATTTATTTGAAAGAACTATAATACTACAGGTTTTAAACTTCAGTACACTTTGTTGCTTTCCTCAGTGCCATTTTTTTCTCTCCCCAGAAGCAACCATTATCTCTCTTCAAGAAGTAACCATTGTCATTAATTTTTAGTGTATCCTACTAGACCATACTTAGTATTTTTGCTACATATTTATGAACAAAAATGCTATTACTTTGTTTTTGAAATTTATATAAGTAATATTTTACTGTATATACCACTCAAAGTTGTTCTCTTCTTTTCTTTTTCAAGATTTATTTATTTGACAGAGAGGGAACACAAGCAGGGAGAGCAGCAGGGAGAGGGAGAAGCAGGGTCCCCACTGAGCAGGGAGCCCGATGTGGGGCTCGATCCCAGGACCCTGGGATCATGACCTGAGCCGAAGGCAGATGCTTAACCGACTGAGCCACCCAGGCGTGCCCCTCAAAGTTGTTTTTAATAACATGGAATGTAACTGTTCGATAGTATTCTGTATTATGAATATACCCCTCTGGACTTATCTATTCTACATTAATTGACATTTTAGGTTATTTCAGATTTTTACTAGTACCGATTGTTATGTAAATCCCCTTAGTGTCTATGTACAAAAGTTTCTCTAGAAATAATAGAAACAGAATGAATGGATCATACTTTATATGTCTTCAGTTGTTTCCAGATTCTTCTCTAAAACATAAGACTATTTTCTGCATGTCTTTTCCATCAGTTTTTGTGGTAAACTTTGCACATCTGATATCTTATTGTAACTTGAATTTGCATTTCATTGAATATTGGTGAGATAGAAGTTGTTTGCTTGTGTTAAATAATCATTTAGATTTTCTTCTCATCCTTTGTTCATCTTTCTGTTGAATTGTTTGTCTTTTTTTTACTGATGGTATAGGTCTTTATATATTCTGGATTCCTCACTTTTGTAGATTATATGTACTATAAGAACACTTCTTTTTGCTACTTTATCTTTTGGTATATACACGTTTTTATTTGATGAGTTGATATATATCCATTGTTTTCCTATATGATTTCTGCTTTTTTGCATTTAAAAAAACCCACTTAGTAACACTGAGATTATTAAGGTGTTCTCATATTTTCTTTTAATAGCTTCGATATTTTGCTTCTTTATACTCTAAGTCTTTAATATACTTGGCATTGTTTTTTGCATGTGACATCATTTAACTTTTTATTTTTCAGCTAGAAAGCCAGATGTTGTAATGCCTTTTATTATAAAGTTCATGCCTTTTTCACTGATTTTAATGATACTTCTGTCATATATCAAGTTCTTATATGCGACCTGGTCTGTTTCTGGGCTATTTTGTTCACTGGTCTGTTTGTACTTAATGATGAAACTACAGTGACTCCCTTATTACAGCTTTAAGATGTGTTTCTATCTGGCAGTGTAAGTTGCTCTTGTTTTCTTTCAGAATCGTCTTGGCTGCTCTTGGGCTTTTGATCTTCCATATGAGTTTTAGAATTATTTTTTCCAGCTCCACAGAAGATTACATTGAGGTTTTGATTGGAATGACAATTATAGATTAATTTAGGGTGAATTGACATCTTTCATATTGAGTCTTCCTATCTATGCATATGGCATATCTCTTTACTTATGCAGACTTAAAAACTTGCAGAATCATAATTTACATACCATAACACTCACCCACTTCAAATATATAATTCAATAACTTTTAGTAAACTTGTGTAACTATCACCCTAAACCAGTTTGGAACTTTTAATCAGATTTGAGTTTTTATGTCCTTTAATAATGTTTTGTAACTTTATCCATAAAGATGTTGCTGCCTTTTTTTTTAAGTTTTATTCTAAGGTAGCTTACTTTTTTTATTAGTACATTTAATGGTAATTTTACTGTTACATTTTATAATTTACTGTTTTTGGCATATTGAAGTGCTTTGGATTTTAGAGTTTGTTCTTATATCCTGCAGCCCTGCTGAAATTTGTTATTCTAATGATATTTCTGTAGATTCTCTTGGCGCTTCTACATAGGCAATTATACCATCTGTACATAATTTTTTTCACTTCTGTCTTTCCAGTCTTTATATTATGACTTTTCTTATATTTTGGCTGGGACCTCTATTGTAATGTTGAATGATTATATGTTGTCTTATTTCTGATGTCCATAGGAAAGCTTTTAAACTTTCAATTTTTAGTATAATCATTTTGTAGGCACGTTTTTACCAACTTACAGATATTACTTCTATTACAAATTTGTCAGGGGAGTTTTGTTTTTTTGTTCTGTGGTAGTGGTGGTGCTTATTATCTGCTTGAGCATCCACTTTCTTTGGCTTTTTCTCTCCCTTTCTTGGAAGGAATTTATTCACTTCCTGGCTTAGCAGATAGTTTTTCTAGTCATGTTTTGTGAATCTAGTAGCTCCCTAGGATGAACTTTTATGCAGGTAATCCATTTCATAAGTTATGTGGGCCAGAATTTATTTCTGACTCAAATCAAATACACGTTCACTCATAGTCACTGGCTGTAGCTTCACTCAGCTATTGATTTTGAGTTTATTCTGGCACTGGTGGATTTCCTTTGTTTGGCTTTGAACTTGGATGTACATTAAAAAAATTTTTTTTTCGGGCACCTGGGTGGCTCAGTTGGTTAAGCGACTGCCTTCGGCTCAGGTCATGATCCTGGAGTCCTGGGATTGAGTCCCACATCGGGCTCCCTGCTCAGCAGGGAGTCTGCTTCTCCCTCTGACCCTCTTCCCTCTCGTGCTCTCTATCTTTCATTCTCTCTTTCTCTCAAATAAATAAATAAAATCTTAAAAAAATTTTTTTCATAGAATTACGATGTATTTGAAGTAGGAGTGGGGAAAAAAGGCTACTTCTTGATTTAGCTCAGTGAGCCAGATTGAATGGATATCTCTCACTTCTTTAAGTCTAAAATTCTACAAATCAGGTTTACTTAGAGTGGTTTATTCATGTGGTTAATGAGAACTTGAAATGGGGCTAGTGTGAGCAAGAAATTTAATTTCAATAGCTACATTTGTCTAGTGGCTACTATATTAGTGCAGTTCTATACTAAATAAAAGGAGATGGGAGAAAACCTCTAAGAAGTTTAAAGAGTTTTGCTAAATATAAATATACAGAGAGAAAGCCTTCAAGATTTAATTTCTATACATTGTAATGATATATTGTGTTTAATAAGGAATTTGACAGATTCTGGCTTTATTCCCCGCATCAGTTAGCTTCTAATATTTTATATCTGAAATATATATATATATATATATACACATATATATATATATATATATCTGAAATGGGGTGTGTGTATGTATCTCCATCCCAATCAATAGAGAAATTTCTTTCCATAGTTTCTAGGGAGTTATAGTTTCCTAGGGAATTACAGTTCAAGATTGAAGGGAATTATAGTTCAAGATTGAAGACTATAGACGTTGCAAACTTGCAAATATGAGTGAAACTCATTCTAGAATTGTGACTTGATGGCTCATTTGGCAAGCTGGAAATACAGAACTGCTAGATGGATTGAAACTGCTGTTTTAATCCTTCCACATTGCATGGAATATTACTCAGCCATAAAGAATGAGATCTTGCCATTTGTGACAACATGATGTATCTAGAGGGTATTATGCTAAGTGAAATGAGTCAGAGGAAGACATACCATATGATTTCACTTATATGTGGAATCTAAAAAACAAATGAATAAACAGACAGCAGAAAACAGACCTGTAAATACAGAGAACAAACTGATGGTTGCCGGAGGGGAGTGGAGTGGAGGGATAGGTAAAATGGGTGAAGGGGAGTGAGCAGTACAGTCTTCCAGTTCTGGAATGAGTAAGTCACAGGGATAAAAGGTACGGCCCAGGGAATATAGTCAATGGTAGCATAATGGCATTGCATGGTGACCAGTGGTAGCTACACTTGTGGTGAGCATAACATAATGTATATAAACTTGTTGAATCACTATGTTGTACACCTGAAACTAATGTAACATTGTGTGTCTACTATACTTCCATCAAAAAAAAAAAAAAAAACAAAACCGAAAAAACACCAAAACAGAAACCCCAAAAACTGAATTTTTATTTTGGTCTTCAGTAAGGAAGTAATATTGGCAACAAGCAGTAACAGAAGCTCGGTGATTTACATTTTTGTTATAAGCAACTCCCCCTCTCAGAGGAAAAAGAAAAAAGGAAAAGGAACACAGTAAAATTTTACAGAATTTTTGAGCTGAAAGGCACTTCTGAGGCCATATATTTAATCTCATTATTTAATAGATGAGGAAACTTACCTATAAATCATATACATACATATGATATACACATGTACAATACATTAACGTGTGTGTATAAATGTGTATATACCTAATGCCAGTATATATATTGAATATAGTTGATTTGCTAGTTAATGACAAAGATGAGACTGGAATCTGGGTCTTCTAACTTCTATGCTTTTTACTGTATGCTGCACTTCTGTTTGTATTGAAAACAAATTAGGTTCCTTAAAATATGACTGTGTACATAGACATCCATGGCTTATAAGGTAAATCTTAATTATATTTTTCAAAAGCTGAGTTATGAACAAGGCTTTCACTTGTTTTAAGTTGAAGTGTTGAGTTGTTAAATGATAATAGACAATCAGGATTGTGTAGGGATTGACATTTTAAAAAGAACGTATTTTAGAAGCCAAGTATTTAGCCAATTTGGTATTTCTTGCAAAAATTTCCTAAAGAAATCATTCAGATTTCATGTAACATGAGATTTTGGAAAAGTGAATGTATTTTAAACATTGTAATTAATTATAGCTCTGTTTTTGTTTTTGTTTTATTTTTTTAGGTTCTTGCCAGAAACCATATGTTGCACTTATTCATGGAATTACAATGGGTGGGGTAAGTAGACTATCTTACTCTCATCATTGATATGTGAGTTTACTAAAAATAAATTAATCATTATTGATCAGAAGTGAGGTGATGAATGTCATATAGTAGAACTCATTGAAACAAAATCCTGTTTGGATTTTGGATCCTTGCAGGTTTAGGAGATAGTATTTGCTTATAACACTTTTAGACGATCTCCACCCAAAAGAATATGTTCTTACTTATGTTATATACTTTTTTAGCTTCTTGAATTAGCAAACTTTTTTAACCAACAGAATGGATGAATTTTCTGTTGCTGTTGTTACACAGAGCCCTTTTTCTACTTAAAAGTAAACTGATTGCTTCCAAAAGCTTCAGAAAAGAAACTGGAATGTTAAGGGATTCTTAGACTGAGTCTTGGGGATGTGTTTGCCTAAATTGTATCTATTACACAAAATCTCACCTTAGTGAAAGTGTCTGGATACTTTATGAAAAGTGTCTGGATACTTTATGAAGTTCTCTGAAAATGCATTTCTTATCAATTGACAAAGTATTTCTTTTATTTCTGTGTAATTTCAAGGAAGTCTTAAATGTTTCGGGCCTTGAATAACTTGATGTAGAGTTGGAAAAACATGAAATAATAACAGAAAAGGGGAAAATTGTATGACACTAGCTATACCAAAGACAAGCCTTTAAAGAAGTGAGAGGTCAGAATGGGTCTTCATGGCAGGAAAAGGTAGGACTTAGGTAGTAGGAGGCCGAAGGGAAGAATTTCAAAGATACCGCGTTCAGGGTTTCAGAGATTTAGTCATTGGGTGTACAAGAAGCCCCCCTCTTTTTCTGATAGAACCAAACTAGATAAAGCCTCTTGGGCACTGGGAGTTGCTTAGATCTTGTATGTCATTTTGGGAAGGGATTCCACTAGCAGCTGTGGTTAGAAAGCAGGATGAAGGGGCAATGTGTACCTCCTGGCTCGTTAACATTTACTGAACATGAGTTGATTGTGCTTTCTTTGTCAAGGAAGTGTTACCATGAGGAAAATACTGGGGGAAAAAAAACAAAAACCTGAAAAAATAGTGCAGAATAAGGGGAAGGGAAATAATTGAAATGTTGAAGGAAGAGCTGCCCTGTGAATGTGAAAGGAACCAGGAAAAATGAAAATAAAAACAACATTGGGCATATTTAATAACACTTAAAAAGATGTAGCTCCCATGAAATAGGAAAGACAGCCCATGAGGAGACAATAAGCTCAGATGAAAGGGCAACAAGCAACATAAGGAAGGGTGAGGGGAATAGCAAAACTGATGTTCCCCTTAGGGCAATAGATTAGAAGGAGTTGAATTTAATATTACAGATAATGAAGCTGTATCTGTGGAGGACAAATTTGAAAAGCACTAACCGCAAAAGGACAAGAATGAAAATGCTGAGAAGAAACTTTTGAGGTAATTAAGGCAAAAGAAGGATACTGGGAACCCAACAAAGGAATGATATTTCATGGAAAGTAAATCTAGCACTTGGAATAAAAATAATGGCCTGATATAAAGATGACTTTCTTTAATTAAAAACAAAAAACTCTCAAACTTGTGGTATGTATAATTAAGGGAAACACACTCTTTCAGATAAAATCATTGAAAAGAGAACCACATCTAGATAAAAGCTTAATTAAGTTTTTCTAAATTACAAGCTTTAAGGAAAAAAACTACGTTTTCAGGCTAGGGAGTAGGGGTGAAGGAGTGGTTAGTGAATACAAGTTATAAACCAAGGAATGTAAATCAGTTCTGGTTTCAGAGTTTGTTAAGTGCCAGAAGTCAATGGATTGAGAAAGTTGTGAAATCAAGTCATTAAGAGTTTCCTACCCAACCAATTTGTCATTTAGTATAATTGTAAAAGAAAAATATTCTCAGAAATGAAAGGGCTTAGAAAATATGTTGCTTACATACCATTATTGAAAATATTTCAATAAATACTTGGTCTAGTTGACCAAGAATCACTCAAGTTTAATAAAACAAGACTAATTTTGATATGAAAGGATTGGTGAGCTGCCCTTTTTTACTATCAGTGAGCAGAAATTCCACCTTTTCATAGGAGCCTGAGAAGAATTATTGCTCTAGCATGTTGCATCTGAGTGAATTGACTGTGCCTTTTGGCCTCCATGACATGTATCAGTTGGTATGGTGTTTGCATACATTCCTATGTATGTTTCAGTCAAGAATACTCCATTTATTCAGAGAAGACCACAGTAAAACATACAAAGATAATGTTGCCTTGAATGGAGGGAGTAAGGGTGATGCTACTTCTTTCTACTCGTCTGTTTTCTGTATTTAATGAGTAGGAATGATTTTCAAAATAAAAATAAAAATATACTTTATATCAGCCTTAATGAGAATACCACCAGAGAATTAAGTCTTAGTGCCCTAAGGCAATGGTTTTTAAGGTGTTATTTTTGCACTAGCAGTATCAGCAGCATTTAAGAATTTGTTAGAAATACAGAATCTGGGGCCCTACCTCAGAGTCAGACTCTGAGGGTGGGGCCCAGCAGTCTGTTTTAACAAACCCTCCAAGTGATTCTGGGTCATGTTAAGTGTGAAAACCATGCCATAAAGCATCCATTGTATGTGATGAATTAACTTCTCTTATATCTGTCCTGTGTTTCTAGAATGGTACCAGTTATGTACCATCCTTGGGAAAATTGACAAAATAGTCAAGTCATGAGAAATCCCTCAGTGAGCAAGGTTCTTTTATATTACATTATTATCAGCCCCCTCCCCTCTCCAAAAAAATCCAACAACCCCCAATGTGTCTTTTCTCCCATCAGGTCTGCCCACCTATGTGCCTCACAAATACTCTTTATGTAATTCATTCTTTTTTTTTTTAAAGCTTTTATTTATTTATTTAATTGAGAGAGAGACAGACAGCATGAGGGGGAACACAAGTAGGGGGAGTGGGAGAGGGAGAAGCAGGCCTCCGGCTGAGCAGGGAGCCCAATGCGGGGCTCGATCCCAGGACCCTGGGATCATGACCTGAGCCGAAGGCAGTCGCTTAACCAACTGAGCCACCCAGGTGCCCCTTTTTTTTTTTTTAAAGATTTTATTTGACAGAGACACAATGAGAGAGGGAACACAAGCAGGGGGAGCGGGAGAGGGAGAAGCAGGCTCTTCACCGAGCAGGGAGCCCCATGCGGGGCTTGATCCCAGGACCCTAGGATCATGACCTGAGCCCAAGGCAGATGCTTAACAACTGAGCCACCCAGGTGCCCCTATGTAATTCATTCTTAAAGACTGAAGTTCTAATCTATTTTTTGACAGTCTTAAATACTACTATGATTAGATGTGATTTCTTCTTCCATTGACTTCTGCATTTAGTCTGTACCCCAAATTTGGCATTTATACTTTGTTACTTATGAAATAAGCCCAGATATATTAGATGGTCTATAAGGGCAAAGGCTATCTTGGCCTCTTTTTTTTTTTTTTTTTTAACCCTCTCAACAACCAGAAATGTAGTGTGTATTTTCTTATGTAGCCTTTGAAAATGTAAAATTTACAGACTTGAAGTGAATCAGTTCTTTTTTTTTTTTTAAACGATATTTTGAATGTATCTTGGTTTTGAAGGCTAACTTTTCATGTCTCATTTCAAACTGTGCTTAATCTAAGACTCAGTGAACTCTTCCTTTTGAAAATATAATCTTCTAGATACTGGCTTTCAACCTTGGCTGCATTTTACAATCCCTTACGAGACTTTACAGGTTCCATTGCCCAGGCTTTACTCACCTCACAGAACTATTAAATCAGGTACTGGAGTGGGACCAAGGTATATTTAAAGCTCTTTGGTGATCCCAGTGTATAGCTAAGGTTATGAACTGCTGATGTGCTAGTGATTCTTAACTATTACCTGTGGACCTTTTTCAAAATCCCATGGGACGTTGTTTTTCACAGGTTAGCTTGTCTCAGAATCACTTTGAGGGTTTGTTGAAATGCAGACTCCTCCCACCCTCATTTCAGTTTTGTCCATTTGAAGTGTGGTCCAAGAATTTGCATTTTTTTTATGTTCAGTTACCCGCTGTGTAGTACATCATTAGTTTTTGATGTAGTGTTCAATGATTCATTAGTTAAGTATAACACCCAGTGCTCATCACAGCACGTGCCCTCCTCAATACCCATCACCTGAATTTGCATTTCTAACAAGTTCCCAGATGATGATGCTGGTGATAGTGGGGGTGACTCACTTTAGGAACCACTACCACAAGGTGTTGAGAACATGTAGTGTGTTACTCAAAAAGGCTTTATTTTCAGAATTGTTAGTAGAATTTTAATATTATATAAAACTGTTCAATATAAATATATCTTAAATCCTAATACAGAAGTTTAGAATAAGATAGAGCAAATATGGCTTAAGGTTTACAAATAGTAATTGTTTGTTTTTATCTTGATACTGATCAATAAAGTGTTTCTTATAATGTAAGAAGGAATTTTGTTAAAAAACTTGAACAGTCCAAAAGATGGCACCATAGAGCTTGTTTTTGTTTTTGTATTTTTTTTCTTTTCACTATAGAAAAAGTTTTTCTCCATCAAGGACAACAGTCGTTTTACCATCTTTTGTTATCTATCATGAGGAGTAAGTAGCACAGCACTTTGTAGAAGGTATGGCTAGATTCCATTATGTTTCAGATTTCAGATTCGACCATTTACTCAATATTTTGGTCTTTGGTAAAATAAAAATGAATGTTTCTGAGTGTTTCTTCACTTGGTTGATCAAAATAATTTAAGGTTATGTCATTCCAGTGTTTCTGTAAGAGATAAACAATTTTTTAAAGAATAAAAATGAAAGAATAGTTCATTCTGTTTCTCAGAAAGACAGATTTTTAATTCCTTTCCCCTTTATTTTTAAAATCTGAATTCATATTTTCTCAAGTTAATATATATAGAAAGACAAATGATTAAAAATCAATATTAATTTTTAGTAGATATAGAACAGCACAGTCTTTAAATTCTTACTCTGTATGTGTAGTACCACCCATATTTCCCTCTCAACTGAAT